CCCCCCCCCCCCCCCCCCTCCTTTTTGATTTGATTTACGCCTTCAATATATTGAATATTATCTCGTGACAAGGTAGTCGTTCCGGAAGGTACAGCTTGATCACCTCCTTTTCATTAAGAGCTAATGCTTGTTGGCTATTTTGTTTGACACTGCTTCACACTCAAAATAAAGGAGCTACATATGAGTGAAACTTGGAGATGAAAGTCTTTTTCGTTGTCAAATTTTAAGAACCCCTTTCGCGCTGTTTCATTTGAATATACTTAGTTGCATTGTTTTTTAAACTCTCGTTACACATTGTAGAAGTCTTTAAGGACGTTTTAAAGATAAGATAATGCCTCTAAGGCCGCTATTCCTGACCTTAAGAAGGAATGGAGTAAGGCCTTTACTGATTATCTCTATACCATCCTCCTAAAAACAAGAGAACAGGAGAGAGCTCACGGGACCCCATTTCCCCCAAAACCTTCTCTCCTCAACCGGGCTTCCCTGAAAAATACTTTCCACACCGGTAAGCATAATGATTTCAAAGGTAGAATAAACATTGCCCTTAGTGAAACTCTCAGCAATTCAAGGGCGGCAGCAGTTGTTCATCAAGCAGCAGCTCACCAATCTGTTTTATGATTAATCAATCCATCCATCCCTTGTGGGTGCTGAAGAAAGCAAAACACATGGTTTTTTTTGTCCAGATAATTTGAATGAATATAACAAATTTTGGTTGGGGATGGCTGCCCTATTTGAATTTCTTAACCCTATAGGTGAGTACAACATGTGTTCTTCTTATGGATAGGATGAAAAACTTCCTGATTTTACAAATTTCAACTTTCAAGAAGTCATCCAATTTTGAACCTAGCTGCCAGAGAGAATAATGGGGAGGAGAGGGTTGATAATTTTCTGAACTTATGAAATATTGAGTTATGTTATCATACATACGATGAGCAACCATCTTTAAAGTTGGTGGTCTAGTGATATTCCATTTCAACCATGCATTGGATAAGAACCACACAATATCCACGACCACTACACTAGAGTAATGTAGGTCACATCTTCAGTTTATTACGGGCAATTGTGTCACTAAATTTTCTACTAAACCACACATTATCCACAACCATGTTTTTGGGCATGTCTGCTTTGAAAACTGCAGAAAATTTTCAGCAACTTCTAGATATTATGCAGATTAGTTATTTTTGGGAGAACCTCTGTAGGAGCCTTAAGTTTTGACACACTTTATTGAAAGTAACTTGGCATCTATACTGATAATTTTTCCACTGGGAAAGAGTCATGATTAGGTACATTTCTTTGCATTCCAGTGTCAATATGACAGTATGTGATTGGTGCCATTTTTTTTTGTCCTGTGTTCTTAATACTACACTTGTATGATAGAAGTGGTCTTTGTTCTGATGTAACATGGCAATCTACAAAATAGCCCTTGACCTTGTTATTGCTGTTCTGCAGATTATTGGTTTGTGGCCTTCCTGTTGAGTGAGCTTATAGGGACAATTTATAAGTTCTTTTCTATTCTGCTCATCTGCTGTTGGAAGGGAAGGAAACCATGGTAGGGCAACTGCCAGGGAATCCTTCTCATCATGAAATTGCAAACTATACAACTAGCATGTATGTGCCTGAAGAGCTTCAGTGTGTTACACGCCAGTGGTACTTCAGCAGACAAGAAATCGAAGATAATTCTCCATCAAGGAAGGATGGCATTGATATTGAGACGGAGTCGCATTTGCGGAAGCTATACTGCACATTCTTACAAGAGCTTGGCATTGAGCTTAAAGTGTAAGCTGTAGTTTTAACTCGATGATAAAGCATGCGAGATTAGAACTCCAAAAAATGTGACATTGCATCATCTCCCTAATGTTTACCCCTTATCACCAAGAGTACCCATTGCCCATGTGCTTTGGCTAAAGTCTTTTGAAGGCCTCTCAATTTTTTGAATCTTTTGGTTTCATTTGATTGGAAATTGATCATGTGCCCCCTCCCTCTCGTCCTTTACCTTATTCCTTTTTCTTCTTTCTTTTTGTTTGTCTTTCTCTGGCTTGTATGCACGATATATCATTGTTGTAGAATCTTATTATTTAATTAGTGATTTGGTAGGAGATTGTTCCATAACCCAAAATCTATTGTCTGCCTTCATCGTATAAGTGTGCCCAGCATCCTTAAACAGCCCCATTTTTAAATTAAAAATAAAAACACAGACAATCAAGCCAGGTTTTTTATTTTTTGGTCTCTTTATCAAATTTTGTCTACTTTCAAACTTCCAGTGGTTTATGTATGTATTCACTGGTTTATATTTAAAGCCATATACCTGATACAACTGACTGTCTCAATCTTGTATTTCCTTGCAAAGTGTCAAAGTGTTTCATTTTTCTTGGGTACTCATTTTTCATTCCTTTTATCCGACCTTTTTTTCTGATTTTATTTCCTTTTTATGGATCATGACATGCTTATATGTACTCAAGATGGTGTTGATGATGTTTCCTTTTATAGGCCCCAGCTGACAATAGCAACCGCAATGATGTTGTGCCATCGGTTTTACATGTGTCAGTCACATGCAAAGAATGATTGGCAGGTACTAAACTTGTTCCATATGTTCTTATACTTTATTGTCCAATCCTCCGTTATTCGTTGGATATAAAACTCTAATTTGGATATTTCTAAGTGTCAATATTGTCTTGTGGACTATATAAGGCATGCGTTTTTTAACATATGTGGTATTGGACAATGAAATGAGTTGTGTAACATGATGAAACAGGGATCAGCTTAGAAGCACATTTAGTATATAATTATGAGGAACAAAATAGATTGCAGCTATTCAGTGGTTCCCTGTATTTGTTCATAGTTCAGACACTGAGAGGGCCATGGAAGTTTTAATTTGGGTGGAGGGTTGAATTGACAAATTGGTGTGCCCTAGCCCTCTTTATTACTTTATGAAAGTGAAGGCAAAGGCTTAAATATACGTTTCTTGTCGAAGTGTCAGTTATACTTGAATAAGTGTGATGTTCTTCTCAATGTGGTGGTGCGTGTTTTGCAGACCATTGCAACTGTAAGCATGTTCCTCGCCTGTAAAGCAGAAGAAACACCACGTTGGCTGAGTGATCTTGTTGTTGTGTCTTATAAACTAATTTATAGGTGGGATCCCTCTGCTCCACAAAGAATCAAAAAGAGGGTACGGCAGACATGCCACTGTTTATATATTTAGTTATGTTCCTGTGTAGGTGAGGTTGCTTATCTGCATCTTTCTTTCTGTAGGAAGTTTATGATAAGCAGAAGGAGTTGATTTTAATTGGGGAGAGACTTTTATTGGGGACAGTTGCATTTGATCTCAATATTGAGCACCCTTACAAGCCACTTGTTTCAGCTATTAAGAGATTGGAGATTGCACATAAGGAGCTTGCGAAAGTAGCATGGAATTTTGTGAATGATTGGTTAAGTATTCCTTTGTGTTTCCTTGATTATCAAATTTTTAATATATGTATTATCTTCTAACAATATTTTCCTTTGTCTTGTCTTGTTAAAGATCTAAACTGTTTATGCTTTGAACTGTAGGCTTCGCACAACACTCTGCTTGCAGTACAAAGCCCACTATATTTCGGCTGGTTCGATGTTTCTTGCTGCCAAATTCCTGAAAGTAAAACTGCCAACAGCAAAAGAGGAGGTTTGGTGGATGCAGTTTGATGTTTCACCTAAACAGTTGGAAGGTTGGTCATTATACACCTGTATCTGCTTAACCTTTTAATTCACATTTTCTTTTGCATCATCAGTCGTAATGAGCTCATCAGTGTGAATTCAAGTCATTAGTTACTAGTTTTTGTTCAAAGAAATTTGGAGATGTGAGATATCATTAGTTGAAACTCTTCATGATGTTTTTGAAACATCATTTTGGTGGATTCCATGCAAGGGGCATGGATATGTGAATATATTATGAGAAATAGGGTGTTCATATGAACCTTGCTTGCAGCCGGTTGTCTTACTTTCCAAGTAGCAATAGAAACATTGCAAATAGCCACATATAGTCAGATGATTAGTTTCCTCTCTGGTTAAAACATGAGTCAGTACTTTGGCCTGGACTGTTGGATGCCTTGGTGGTTTATGATGTCTCATCTTATTGATACCAATTTTGGTTTAGGTGAAATGCTTGTGATGATTATCGGTGGTTGTGATGAAGTGGGAGCCTGAAATGTTCTGCTTGGGTCCACACTAACTCACTGCAGTGGTCCTATTTTCTCATACTAGTTTAGAGGCAGCTTCTTGATGTGGCGAAGTTATGGAAACTCCACACACTTGGTCAATTTGCCGATTTAGGCACCACTGAAATTTGAGGACACTAATGGTTGTGTTTAATCTTTATCTTCATAGATTTGGTGTTAAGTTTCCATCTCATCACATGTTCACCGTCATAATGATTTAATTGGCTGCTCTTGTCGGCTTTTTTCTTACTATTTGTAAAATTTTCAGAGGTCACCCAACAGATGCTTGGGTTGTTGGAGCAGAATCGAAAACAAGCTGTACCACCCAAGCGTGGAAGGGTTAATGAATCGAAACCTGTGGTTGGTAAAGCAATGTCTAACAACAGTCCAGAATCATGCATTTCAAGTGGCTCAGCCATTGCTCAAGATTCTAGCAATTTACAGGCTGGCGGACTCGTCAACTCTGCAAGGTCCAAGAGCTGCCTGAAACAGACCTGTGGTGATGTCCATGATACAGTGAAAGAAAGATTACACTGCCAGACAAGTGATAGTGGCAGTGTAACTAGTATTGTCGAGGATGGTGACAGTGATCCAATAATGGGGGAATCTGATCAGAACACGAGTTGCAAGATTGTTTCTGTTGAAGTTGGTTATCGTAAGATAGATGTAAATCGGATCAGAGAAACATTAAAGAGGAGGCGGGGTGATAGAGTTGCAAATAAGAAGTCTGAGGAAGCCATAGACGAGATAGACAGTGAAGCTTGGATAGAAAAGGAGTTGGAAAAAGGAATAGAGCCAGAGTTTGCCTGTTCTGAGAAGCGAATGAAGTTGTGAAACACTGAAATTGATCTGGTGTTTATCTACTTGCAGAAAGTACTTATTTCTCCGCACCTTATTTGTCAGAGTTTTACCTTTCTGCTGGATTTAACCAATTTTTTTTTTTTAATCATGTTGTAAGTAGTAGGACTATTTTTTCGCGGCCATGGTTCCACTTTTCATAGTTATATAAATTTATTAAACATGGCCTTATTTTCTTGTCCTTTCTCTGGTCCCTAATTCCTCATCAGAGCCTAACTATCTCTGCTACTGGTAGTCATGGAAGATTTTACAGCCCTTCATTTTGTGCTTGTGGCTCCTTATATTTGTTTATGGAGGTACCAGCTTAAGCTCAATGCAATGGCCACCCTAGGATTAGTGGTGGTTGACCAGATGGTTATGGGAAGGGGACAGATGAAGAAGAAGAGTATACACGCTATTTCTTTTCTGGTGACCATGGTTGTGTTGGGCAAGGATCAAAACTTGAAAGGAAACAGACTTGGGTAAAACCTCGGAATTGAAATTTCAATACCTCGAAGTGTTTTCAACTCGAATGATACCGTCTATTGCCTGCGTGAAGGAAGGAGGTCGTGGTAGGAACATTACAAATTTAGTACGAGGAAGTGATCGTGCATATATTGTTTGTGTTTTAGGTCTTAGAAGTCTTGTAAAGTTATGTTGTTGATGAAAATTATTCGTTTGACATTATTTGAGATGACTAAACTTATTAATCCATTGTTTAGTTCATCTACATAAATAAAAAGATTTTGATTCATTTTTTTTTTATTCTCTTCACTTATTTTATAGATTTTTTACTCTATTTTCACCATGTTTATGTTTTTGGATTACCAAAAATTATGCATTAAAATAAAATTTTGATCGTGATTGTTAGGTATATTTTGGGGCCGATCAGAGAGGACGCTAGAGTTTGGACATGTGGATATCATGGGAAGCTGGGATTCACGAGCAGTCTGTAGGAGAGAGGGGAAAGGCTATGGTGGTACCTTTTTGAAAATTACAACTTAAAAGTCTAATTTTTTTGAGGCCTAACCTATAATGTTAAATGACATAATTGATTATGAAAGGTTGTGATTGATACCGTGAATTGCAGAGAGACATAAGAATTGTCTTCTTCTCAGACATCTTTAAATCATCAACTTTAAACCTCCTTTTAAGGGCTGTGCTGTGCCTGGAATAAGTAAAGCTTTTATCATGTACTCCTGCAGAAAAGATAATCACCAAATAGCATATAATTATATTAAATTTATTCAAACTTCATGATTTTTAGTGGGATATGTTCCCCTAAACAAGAAGACAAAAATCAAAAAGTAGAGGTACATTTTATACATTATTCAAATCATTCTTTTTCCCTGAATAATGTGTCGAAAACAAAGTTATTAATGGTAAATTGAGAATACAAATGTTAGTTTTCTTTTAGATTATTATTGTCGGGAAAGACTACGGTAATACCGTACCGAAAATTATAATTTTTTATAGTTGAGTTATAACTTTTTCATGTGTTAGGGCCTGATTGATCTTAAAACACTATGATCATAGAAGTTACAACTTTCAAAAGTTGAATAACAATTTTTGGTTGTACAAATGCAAATAGAATCTCGAATTGCAAGTGACGTTAAGTTAGAGATTGAAGATTAAGAACCTCTAAATTAACCCAATTTAGACTAAAACACAAGGTTACACCTAGGAAGATGATTATGTAAATTAATGAACTATTGTCTCAAATTTACTACCGACATATTATATATATAGTAAATGCTAATGCAATGGGGTGTTTCACCCAGAGGTATAACTGATTATGACTAGCAAGAAAGAAAGATTATTTCCATCAAATGATAGTGATGGACCTAAAGTGATCAATGATAGCATGTTGCTTTTAGAATAAAGGGCAGTAGGGCTTCTCTTAGAACAATGAATACAAAGAAGGATCTCCATTAGTGGCTACACAACTAGACTAGGACCTTGTTTTCCTTGCTCCTTTCTCTGTAGGTCCCTTGGAGAAACATTAATACACAAATTTGAGAATTGTTTCAATCACATGTTTTTAAATTTGTGTTATGATGTAAATCTTTTTTTTCTTTTATGGGTATATTATGGATCAATAAAAACGTCTATTATCAGACTTAAATATACGATTACTAATAATTTTTAATGTTTTTTTAGGTGAACTACTCTAACGGATTGATATTCTCTCTTTTTTTTTTAAATCAAAGTAATACACCCTTTTTAATCAATCCACCGTTGCACTAAGATTATATATTCTATTGAATCCCTTTGGATGAAAGGACAATCAAAGGGAATCTAACAATTATTCCAATATTTTTTTTAAAGTGGTGTAACATGAGAGCTTTTTATGGAGTCACTCATTTTAGTATTACTCTTATTCAAGCACGTTTAACTGTTAAATTCTAATGAAATTCGGTGTATTAATGTTAGTATGATCACACCAAACTATTATCCCAATAATTACCTCACTGTGGGGCTAAATGATGTTCAACAAAGGTCCTATTTTGAATTGTTTTTTTATCAGAACAAGACCATGCAACAATGTATTAAATACGAAAATTCAAATTACAATCAGACAAAAGAGAAGCTTTAAGCTCGGGAGGGAGGAGCCTAACCAGTCCAGCTGAAGTGAGTTGGTGAGCTTAGAGACTGTCACCCAATGAGCAGCCTTATTGCAGGCCCTAGGCTTGTGTAAAAAGTTAAGGTTATGTAACTTAGCAAAATATCTAATATTATTCATAATAACTTTAATTTCCCACAAGGGAATATCCTCCGTAAAACTAAGTTTGATAACAGAAAGACAATCATTCATGATTGTGGTATTAGAGAGCAAAAGGCCATCAGCCAGCAGGCAAGCTTGGCACACTGCCGCAGTTTCAGAAGACAAAGGTGACATTGCAGGGAAAGTCCTAGCAGCACCAAAAGCCAAAACATCATCCTCCTTACACAGCACCACACCACACGCAGCCATCACAGACTTAGGATCAAAGGAACCATCACAGCATAGAAGAGAACCATTCACTGGGAAAGGGGACTATTTTGAATTGTTCAAATGACTACTTTTTATTGATTCAAGGAATGAACAGGTGTGAGAGTTTAAAACAATTTGGTCACCCTGATAGACTCTCACTGCTGAGATTATGAAACTCTTGACCACGTCCGTTACTTCTATCAGGAACAAACCAAGCTAGACTAGTATAATAATCAATCACCGAGCTCCAATATGAACTCTGACACTCAAATCCTCTAATCTCATTGTGAGAAGTTAAGTCAGTACCTCCACTGGACCACCCCACTTAGTGGTCAATTTATTTGGTTTTAATGGATCACTTCGTCAACCTATAAAAGTATAACAACGGTTAAAATTGATTCAATTTTTATCTATTTTCATCAAATAGTATAAAATTCATCCTAGGATTTTTTTCTAATTCAAAAATATCAATATTTCTACACGACTCCCAATATCAAACTACCCCGCTAATCCAAATCTATCTTTTTCCTACCTCTCTCTTAAAGAAAAGAAAAGAATAAATAAAAATAAATTATTATTTAAAATATAGTTATTACACAGTTTATGTTTGATTTTTCATATTTTAGAGCATCTTTAGGCATGAGTTATTGTTATTTATGCATTAAACAATGTTGGATTAGTCTTGAAAATGTTATTGTAATTAGTTTAATTTTGACAATTTTCAAAGTTCAATATACACAAACACGTAAAGGACCTTATTTTATAAGTATTGTTGTTAAAAATCTAAATTTTTTTCTAATTAGTTGACTTAATGATATGACATCTGACATGAGCCCAACAACATGATTCTATTTACGACTCTTAAATTTTCACTATGATCATTATTAAATAAGTAAATTAGGTTAAAAACCCTCAAGGTGAAGCGTGCAGACAAGAATTGGATTGTTGAGGGCTGAGGGTATTTGCTTGGTGGGTGGTGGTGATGGGGAGAGGAATATTATTAATATCATGGGTAAATTACACTTATACCCCTTCTCTCAACTCTCAAATTGCTAACATAACATTATACCCTCAACTATGTCATTACTTTCACATTGTCCCACTTATTAATGTCCATTACATATTTAATGAAAATTTATTTCATTTTGTCCCTCAAACTATGTAATTTTTTTTACTTTATCTTGACACATTAGTGATTTTTATTCAAAACGATAACAGACGTTTGTGATTGGGGCAATGTAAAACAAAAGTGTTGGTTGAGGGTATAATGTGAAAAATTTAATAGTTGAGACAGCAAAGTAGAAAAAGGGTGATAGTTCAAGGAGTGTAAGTGTAATTTATCCTAATGTTATTATGTGGAGAATATGTGAGCATGCTGCAATAGTAAAAGGCAAAAACCTAAATGCAAACGTAAGCTGGTAAGCTTGCTTATAGTCTGATCTGATCTCACATTCTCCCCTAGACTTTTCATCTTATCTGAACTTTTTGTGGGGCTGATCAAATTATTACTGGTTTTCTTTGACAGGATGACATCCATCTCTCTCTCTCTATATATATATATATATGTGTGTGTGTGTGTGTTGTATAACAAGAAGCAAACAAAAGGATGAGAGAGAGAGTAGAGAAAGATCTGGCCCTTCAGGTTTTCTTTTCATCTTTCAAAGCGGCGTAAGCAGCTTATAAACATTTCTTCAAAATGTCTAGTGAAGCAACATATCTATTAATTCCTCTTTAACAGTTGGGAAGTGTCCTTCTAAACACCTTAAGCCCATAATGAAGGCACATAATAGCATGCACGCGCACACACAAATACACAGAGATAGCATATAAGCATCAAAGTAAATTTGAAAAGGTCGTAAAGAAAGGTGTCGTTACCTGTATAACCCTATTGTCTAGAGCATCATAATGAAAGTTTTGAAAGGGTACAAAAAGAAAAAAAAAGTAACACATACATTTACCATTTTTAATCCTTTGGCTTTTGATTAGCTGTGCTGCAACTCTCTATGACAGTAAAGCAGTTGGTGATAAATTTTATAATTAGAACTGTTAATCGAGTTTAATTTTGCAAGCTTTAGTTCGACTATGTCGAACTCGTTTTTCTGAACGATCTTAAAAAATTATTTAAACATGTCTTGTTTAGAAAATGAGTCGCCCAAGTCCGAATATTTCAACTATTTTATACATGAACGAGTCGGGTTTTGCGAATTCGAGACGAATTTTGTCCGAGTTAAACCCGAATAGTTCGGCTTGATTAACAACCCTATTTATAACTCTCAATGTCATTCGATGTCTTAGTAAGATCTATGAAAATCCAGGAAGACATCTATAGATAATAAATTTAATGATAAAAGATTGGACTTGATCCAGATTGATAAAATTTTAAAATTGATTGAGAGGAGGCAGAGGTTATAGAAAGGTCACTGGCATCATCATTGTAATCCAGCAGCTGTCACTATATAGCGTGGCTTTCATGGTTGTCCTAAGGATTAATACCTCTCTATGAAAGCAATGTATGGAGACAGACATGTAGGTACTGTGAATTATCTCTCAGGTCCTGGTCCTGGTCCTGGTCCCCGTATGTTATGATGTATTTTTGTTCATTCTTCTTGGGTGTTTCTTACAATTCTTCTTCGTTCTCTTTGAATTTTAAGCATTGCCCGTAGGGGGTCAATCTAGTCGTGTTCTATTATGTTATATTCGGATTGGCCTTTTTTATATAATTTTTTGTGTTGTTCATGTTATATTTTAAAATAATATGATGATAGTTTAGAAAAAATTACCTACAAAGACAAGTCGAAGATTGGAGAAGCTCTGGAGATCAACCCTCTGATTATAAAGTTAGTCGAAAATATTTCAGGGATGAGAGGAAGCTTTTGTTTGCATTTTTTTATCTCACCTCCATCTCCTTCATGGCCTCCTCTCTTATAGGTTGTATGGTTAGGCCGTTAGCAGATCCTGTTCTGCTTACTTAAGCTGAATTGATTATTTCACTTGCTTGATCCAATCTTGCTGACTAAGTGGAAGGAAAGGTTGAGTTGAACTAGTCAAAGTCCATTGAAAACCACACTCTGTCGAGCTCCAGAGTTTCGGAGGTGATTAGCTGCCGAGCCGGAATTAGTCCGAGCTACTGAACTCGACATTCCAATCATGTTCCTTTTTTCAATTTATCACCAGTAAATGGGTTCCCGGTTCCCCATGGGAAATGGAAATAATCATAAGTAATATCATTTTTTGGTTGGAATAAATCTTGACATGTACTAAAAAATATCAATATACTTACCGAAAAAAAAGAAGACATATCTATACTATTAATAAAGAGAGCGTGTGGGTTTAATATTCTCTCACTTTGTTAGTAATATTTAATTAGTAGTTTATTACAGTTGGTTAATTTATAGTTAATTCTCCAAGTAAAATTATTCACTCTCTCATAACTCTTTGTCCCTCCCTCACATTTTCTTTTCCTAATCCTCTCTCTCTCTCTCTCCCCCCTATCACACACACCCATGACAACACAGCCCCTCTAATTTTCATAAATTATATAGACACTTCTCAATATTTATGCGATAGAACAAAGATACTGCTTCTGAAGACTGAACTGATATGTATGTATGGAAAAATAAGGCTTAAGCTTTTTATATGCCCAATTTTGTTGATATTTCATTCTTTTTAGTGCAGTCAAATAGTAATGCGACGGTTATTTAATTTGCAAAAACAGTCTGTAAGAAATTTTCGTGTTATTTTCTGAATATCAATGGATGATTGTCTCATTTCACCCAAATTCAATGGTATGTCAATGTAATCTACCCTTATTTTATCACTGCTGGACCACGGTATTCAAACAGACTACCCAGGCCTCACTGTTTCTTTTAACAAACCGTACAGGATATAACTTACAAGAGCTTGCAGCCTATGGTAGAGAGAGAGAGAGAGTACTTCCATTTCTTCCTCAGACTTCTGTTAAAAGCCCTGGGGTTCAACGCAGGGATGTTAATCATGGGAGAACTATAATGATCATCTCCCTGTAATTGCAGAGAGTGCAAAAAGCATAGTACACGAGAGAGAGAGAGAGAGAGAGAGAGAGAGAGAGAGAGAGAGAGAGAGAGAGAAAGAGAGAGGGAGTATACTCAATCTTAGATTGTGAAACTGCAAAAAGTTTTGCTGAAAAAGCAAAAAAAAATAAAGTTGGAGAAAGAGGTCCGAAGAAGGATTATTGGCGCTCTCTTTCTTTCTTTTCTATCAGCTTTAAGATGTGAGACTTTGAAAGAGTAAAGAGTAAACTATGAAAAGTGCCTAAAAGCAAAGAAGGTATGTGGGTGTCACCTGAACTGTTTCTTTGAACCCAGAAAGAGCGAGAGAGAGAGAGAGAAAGGTTCCTGGAGCATGTTAATTTTAATCACTCATCTTGGGATTTTCAAGCCCTTTTAAAAAAAGAACATCTTATCATGGAGCCTGAAAATCTCCATCACCAACATCAGCTCCAAGGTCAGCTTGTTGGGACTTCTCCTTTCGCTACCCCATCTTTTTATGGAGGTGGAAACGCCCATGATTGGACATCTAATACCATTTTGTAAGTTCAGCTTCTCTCTCTCTCTCTCTCACACACACACAGACCATTTGCTTTTTACCTACATTTGTAAACCATAAGTCTGTAAAATTCAAAATATATATATATATATATATATATATATATATATATATATATATATCTATGTTGGATTCTTGAGTTTTTCCCAGAGACCAGTTTTTAACTCTTTTAAACTTTAGATTCGATTGCTGTTAGTACAGAAATTGATTATAAGTATTGCCATATTCACAAACTAGTGAGAGCTAGCAAAATGCTTTTGTTTTACACTAGGGTTTGTATCTTCTTCCTTGCACTTTGGTCCTTAATTTGCTTATGCTTCTTTCCTACTTTTTAGCTCGAAAAAGCCTTTGGTTATCTTAGGAAACATCCTAGTTTGCAACATTAGGGATTCAAAACAGGCATGACTTTATATACTATATAGTAGATTCTATTTAATATAGGAACTTAGTGTTAATTCCATCGCTATAATAGATTATCCGTAAATTAAGTCTAAAATAGCGATCCTCATATTAATATTATTACTAATCGCCGTTTTATTGATTATGCAGCAGTGTCAGCAACTTCAATCCGTATATCAATGGAAGCATCGCAAATTCAATCCGTAATTTGGACCCCTCTTTGAACAGTTCTATGACTCAGGGCTTGGACTTTCACTGGACTAAGGAAGGGCTCTCAGATGATTCCTATCAGAAATTCAACGAAATGACAAACAGCCCTTCATCGAGCATAGAAGATTTACACTTACAACCCCCAAGCTCCATAAATAACTGGCAAATGTATTTCAATGATCTGAGTGAGAAACTCTTGCTTAGGAGAACCTTTTCTTATGATTCCCAAGTTGATAGACTTCAACTTGAAGCTGGAAAATTCTACTCCAACTCCAACCCACAATACTATTATAATTTACGTCCTAGCCCAGGGATTTTCAGCCAGATTCATCCGACCATAAATATTTCGGGCTTGAATCAATTGTCTTCGGCGATTTCAAGCTCTTCAGACATGAGATTGCAAGTTTTGGATCTCTTAAGCTCTGGAAGATTCAGTGAAAGTTTTAGCCAGCCCTTACATGAGCACCTTGGTCCATTCGAAGACAGTCTATATGGTTATGATACTATGCAGGAGCTAAGTCACAGGCCATCTAATATCTCTAGTAAAGTGAGTATACTCCTCTTCTTCTTCCTCTTCAGCTCTAGTACAGTGCTTGCATTCTTCTTCTTCTTTCTTGTCTTCTTACTTGGTCTATCTTTTTTGTCATGAACATTATTATCGGCACCCCAGATGATAATAAAATGAGGAATGCTATTGGGATCTAACTTGAGGATCTAAGCAGGGACTTCATTAATTTAAAGCAATCATTGGATGATAAGTTGCGAATTCCAATGTTATATGAAGTCGGCTTTCAATCCAACATAAAATTCACAATAGTTGCACATTCTCTCTGCCTCTCTATCTCTCTCTCTCTTAATTCATACAGATAATTACAATGGGTGATAGTGAATTAGCGTCTGTTCATGTTAGGTAACAATGTTTTTGAAGCCGATTAATAGTAACGAGGGACTAATAACACCAGGGAGACTCTCGGCTGATCCTCAAGTACAGTAGATATCAAAATTTTCTACTGGGAAGCGACATTCTTGAATGAAGTCTACATACGTCATTTTTAAAAACTAAAATTTCTACTCGAAATATATACATATTCATAATTCTCTACCTTATAGTAGTATTACTCCGTTTTAAAGAGGAAAAGATTTTGTAACAATAGCAAAGAAAGGGACATATGTTCCCAGAACGACCCAGAATTTGCTCTCGTTGGAGCTTCTCATTTTCCACCTGACCTATCAATTCTCTCAAGTCTTCTCTTGCTATAAAATTGCGAAGTGTCACATAACTGAACTGAATACATTCATCACAGTAATTACTGGGACAATTCTCAGGATTGGCAATCTTACTTTTTTTGGATATGCGGAGAAAAAAATCATTAAATCTACATCAGTAGTTCTCCTTCTTCTTTTTCAATATCATGATATTTTCCCTACTAAAAGGATACTTTCAGCTTTATACACTATGCATCTTTAGTTTTTTCAGAAATTCAGTCTTTTTGTTTGCCAATATCATTTGACTTGAACTTTATTGCTTTTGAAATTGAAGATTTCATCATCCTACACAAATGGAGTTATTGCAGAAGCAAAAAGAAGCAGCAGTTTTTTGGAGCCAAAGGCACCTCAAGCAGCACCACCAAAGAAATCACGATTGGAGTCACACTCTTCCTGCTCACCCTTTAAGGTCACAAAGAAGATTAACATATCCAGAAAGTTGAATAGTCCATTGTTGTAATCATTGGGTTGATAATGAACCCTATTAACTCTAAAAAAATAGTTCATTTGGTAATAGAAACGAATTGTAAATTTAGACATCTCTAATTTGAATTTTGACAATTTTTTAAGGTCAGGACATGAGAAATTTAATTTATCTCTCATGAATTCCCTAGTTCAGGCGTGGATAGCTTACCTTTCATCAGATTGGAGAGGGGATTAATCGAAATGTGAATAAAAGTATTGACTTGGACATCCCTGACCATTGAATCCAAAAAAAGATAGTAAACCCTATTCAATATTGAGTTCCGTTATTGATTCATCGACATGTACATTAGCAGATTAGATCAATAATTATGTCAAGTAATTAAGTCCAAATAAAGTTTTGGTAAGATGTTGACGTATTGATGTTTGGGCGTTGTACTGAACCAGGTGAGAAAAGAGAAACTAGGTGATAGAATTGCAGGTCTTCAGAAGCTGGTGGCACCTTTTGGCAAGGTAATTGGTGTTATTGAATTTCAGCATCATCACCAATTCATCATCAACCTAGTTATTGTCAACCTTTAAATCTAGCCTGAGGCAAACATATAATTTAAAGACATAATCACAGTGCCTTCATTTTTACGAGACCTCATGTTTACTCAGAGACAGAGAGAGCCTTCTCTCCTCAAATTATTCTACAACTGTTTCTTACTTAAACTATATTTTTGACATGTGGGTTGGAGAATATTTGCAGACAGATACAGCATCCGTACTGATGGAGGCCATTGGATACATCAAACTCCTTCAAAACCAGGTCGAGGTACTCTCACTTCAAATCATTCTTCTAGACTTCCCATTTTTTATTGTTATCGTCTCACAGGCTGATCAAACAATTAAAAACAATAGATGTCACGTGTATGAGATATATACGAGATTAGACTATAGTAACGACAATTATTTTTAGGATTATATTAAAAAATAAATTGTAATTCTGAACTCAGTGCTTGAATATTGTGCTTTGACTTTGCTTTTTTGGCAGACGCTAAGTGTCCCATACATGAAGTCATCAGACATCAACAGCAGTTGTATAACATTGCAAGGGGTAAGAAAGCCATTACCCTCTCTCTCTCTCTCTCTCTCTCTCTCTCTCTCTCTATATATATATATATATATATATATATATATATATGGGTTAGGGGTATGCGATTTTGTATGTGGAGTGGATGATAGGATATCTTCAGTAAAAAGTTGCATGCAAAAGGAAAGTGAATACCATGAAATAGGAATTCTTTAGGACCAGAGGCATTAGCCAGAAACCATTCTACTATAGCATTACTGGTTATGCATGTCCTGGTATCGTGTTTTTTAATAGAAAATGTAAGTAGTTTCATGTCAAAATTTGTGCAATTCATATCCTATTCATTCATCATTGGAAATAGTCGGATTCGTATGGAGTTGGGTATTTAACGTGTACTAGTCATGTTTAACTAAATTCATGCATGTCAACCCATATATTACCTGAGTTCGACAAACTTACCCGTTTATCACTCAAATATATATGTTAAAGGCTAAGTTGTACTTGTCAATTTTGTGTCGGGATTGTTGATCATGTTAAGCATTGTAAACCCAACCTTGTGAGCTTTATTAACGTTGCTTTTGATCCTAGGGTTCCAAGGAGGAAGGAACTGAAGAACCAAATCGAGATCTTAGAAGCCGAGGGCTGTGTCTGGTGCCCTTGTCATGCTTGTCCTACGTTACCACCGATGGTGGTGGAGGTGTTTGGCCACCCCTTAACTTCGGTTGAAGGAGGCATGCATGAATCTGTAATTCAAAAAGCTGTATTTAGTGGAGCAAATTTGGTCATCCTGTGTGAAAGGAAGATTCAAGGATGGACCAAGTTTGATCCATTTAATCATATTTATTTGTTAGTTTTTTCATTACCCAGCTTTCATATTGCTTGTGTACACTAATTTATTAATGAGCATTGTTATTAGTACCAAATTTACTGACCTAATTTGCTAACCTAATTTATTATGATCTTTGGATTAACTGTGGGTTCCATCAAACATTAGAATTTGGTGTTAATACAATGGTTACAATAAAGTCACGTCATTAGGTCAGCAATAGACATTCTCCTTAATATTGATGTACAATTTAAGGAGAAACATTATATCACAATGGCAAAAATGAGTCATAACTGATCTTATTTAATAGAAAATGTTTAGTTGAGTTGAATTGAGTATATGTATGTTTCTGCGTCAATTATAAAAGTACAATGACTAAGATTGATTTAATTATCATCTATTTTAATTTAATAGTATAAAATTTATCCTCAATTTGTTTTCATGCTTAAAAACATCATTTTTTTTACACGCACGTCAATGTTAAACAACTCAATTAATGCATTCCTTAATGTCAAGTATGAAATAGCTCAATTAATCCACACTTGCCTCTTTCTTCTTTCTTTCCCCTACTTCTATCTTATTTTCTCTTTGTTCATTGTAATTTTAATTTATATAATAAACATTAAAAAATTTATTATTTAAAATATAAATGTCACACGATTAATATTCAATTTTTGAAATTATATAATATTTTCAAGCATAGAGTTATTATCAATCTATATAATAAAATAGAAGAGCATTTGAATTTTTATCCTACACACATTTTTTCCTTTAAAAGTATCACATCACTCATTTTTATCACAAATTTAATTATTTATATATTTTCTCCCTAAAAATATCACATCACTCATTTCTATCATATGTTTAATCTATATAATAAAATAGCTTATAATTCAAATTTTAAAAGATAAACAAAATGACTTTTGCTTTTCGCAGTTCAGATCGCTTTAAATTTTACTTTAAAGTTAATTTAACGGCTAATATTAACACCCTAAATTTAATAAGAAAAATAGGTCTCTAAGGGTGTGTTTGGAATAATTTTTTAAAAATACTTCTAAAAAAAATTTCTCATAAGTATTTTTAAAAAAATAATATTTGCAACCGCCTCACCACTACCTCTATCACCATCACCGCCGCCACCCCCACCACTGTCGCTGCCACCATCACCACCGCCACCGCCACCGTTACCACCATCGTCATCTTCGCCACCACCACCACCATCATTACCACCGCCGCCGTCACTGCCACCACTACCACCGCCACCGCCGCTATGGTCATTGCCACCCACCATAACCATCACTGTCTCTTACCACCACCATTGCCGCCCACAACCTCTTACCTCCACTACATCTGATGTTTAAATTCATTTATCTCTCCTCTATATTTGTTATTTAATTTTAGATATAAATAAAAATATATTTATTGTTTACTATTTTTTTTATTACTTTGTGTCTTTAGGCGTAGACAATAACTAGTTCATATAATAAAATACATAGAAAGTTGAATTTCATCTCTTACGCATTTTTCTCCCCCAAATCATCACGTCACTCATTTCTATCACATGTTTAATTATTTAATATTTGATTAATTTGTTGTTTAACATAATTTTTATTTCAGATATTATCTATACATGATAGTATACACATATTAAAAAAAATTATCAAATCACGTATTTTGAAAAAAAATTGTCAATATTTATAAGAAAATAATGAGTAAAAATAAATTTTGAATTATTTAATCAAAAAAATGAACAAAATAAAAATTATTATTTAATATAATGATATCAATTTTTTTATGGGATTCAAATTTTATGTTCTATCGTATTTTCGGACACGAGTGATAACTGCTTCACTTATATTATTGTTAAGAAATAGCTAAACCTTTTGTTTTGTGCCCAATATGTGCTCTGCCCTAAACTCAGCCCAAACTACAACCGTTATGGGCCCGTATTCGGACTTAGGCCCAGAATTCTGTAAGTAGCTATATCAAGAAGGAAAACTTTGCGATCATCGATGGAAACGTGGCAGTCCACTGGGCAGTTTGATCTTGTTGGACGATGGACCATGCAGTACTGGCACGTAGCCTTATGATGACATCAAATCCAAAGTAAGTTATTCAGCTTTTGTCAAAAGTCACAAATACCCTTTAATCAAGAGCTATATTACTGAATGAATTATACGCCACTACCATTACGACCTCTAAGTTATAACACAGGGTTATGTACGTCTTTTACGGCAAGAGCTCTTGACATAAACACAGGGTAATCTCACTCTCTCTCTCCAGAGCGGAAGAATGTCTTTTCTTTCCACACAATTTCTCCCCCCCTTTATCCAGACTCCAGAGTCCTCTTTGTCAGTCTTTGCCAAATCCAACTAAATATCTTTCTGATATTCCTCTGTTCTTACTAATTTCCTATTAAATTGTGAGGATTTTTCTCTTCGCCGGAAAGTTTTGCCAATCTCGGGGAATTTTTCGAGAAGATCGAAGCTTCAAACTACGATCGGTGACTGAAAGCTCTTGATTGTCAAGTTCGTGGATGTTTAGGCTTCTTGTGGCCTTCAGGTGTGATGTGGTTTATAGCTTTCCATACACACACACACAAGCAATGCACGATGTGCTTTGCTTGTAAACAATTTAAATAATAATTTTTTTGATGAATCGAAAATATAAATTTTATGTGTAATTAAATTAAATGACTAATTTGGTGCCAAAAAATTAATTTATATTTTATTTTTTGATAAACCTAATTATTAAAAAAAAATTTACATATAACATATATTTGATCTTAGAATCCAATTTGATAGCTATATGCATATAACAATATAATATAGATTTGTCTTTTCTTTGCTTCATATAGATATAGGAATGGATATGAAAAAATTTTATGTAAGTGTAGTACTTATATATGTGTCCAAAAAAATTTAGAAGTTAAATACTAGTTGTAAATGAGTTCAAAAAAACTTGAAAGTCAAATTACATATAAAAATAAAAATTATATGAACTTATAAGGATATAATTGATTTTATAAAAATTAAGCTAGTAATACACGGCTTGTGTTGCATCGTGTGTTTCATGTGAACATATTTAAATAATTAAATTACATGTGTAATTAAATTGAATAAATAAATTATGTGTCAGAGAATTAATTTTTATTTTAATTTTTACTAAGTTTAGGTATTAATCTGTACATATATTATAAAGTAATTTGAGTTATTAGAGTTACTGTTGTAATTAAAGACCTAAAGCAATGAGAATAAGGCGGGCGAATGGTTAGAAACCTAATGTTAATATGATTAGAAGAGTTTTGATAGGACATGGAAGGAAAAATGCTGACATTAATAAGTATATGTGGGGTGTGGGGTATGATTGACTTAACATTATTAATACGGATGAAATAGGAAATTAAAAGTTTTTCACGTATACTTACATTTATAAGTAGTATAGATATAGATATACATATAGATGTTCTGATTTTGGATTGAATAATGATTTGAACACTTAAGTGATAGCAGACTTGTAGTATTTAGAATCCGAATTATGTTTCTCAAGTGAATTGTGTGAAAATTGAATGATATTTGTGAAGTGTTAATACTGATTTTAATTCCCTAAGGAGGAGTCTACTGATCATCTCCTTCACTCATGATTGCCATGGGAAAGAGAGGTGTGTAGCCAAACTTACACAAGAAAATTGAGTGGCGTGTCTGGTATAAAATTTATTGTTTTTATTTGGTACAATTATATCATTAGAGTGACTAAGCTATGAATTTACATTTGTGAAAGACCAAATGGCTACGGAATCTACTGACCCCAAAGTTAGGCCTGATCCTACAACTAGAACTGCATGGAGTTCCCCCTGGTTGAAACTGAAATGTAGTGTTATTCTCTAGTCTTTCCACTTGTATTACCAGGAGAAAGACTGAATTCCTTGTAATAACTGTCTTTTAAACTCTGATTGGTGCAAACTGCTTTCTGGTTGCCAGACTATATGGGTATCTCTGCCCTCAATATAGTCTTTAACGTTTTTATTTAGATCATATGTTCTTTCAGGAGGATTTACACATCAGAATTGGGACCTATGAATATGACTTTTTCAGATTTTTGGAGCAATGTATATTGAGGTGGTTATAGGTTGCGGTATATGTTGGATATGATTTATACATCTTAAAGTGTTATTGAATTCCTGCAATATGTCAATTTTTTTTTTTAAATCACATACCTTTATTTTTCTTATGTCTCAATATTTTGATGTGTCAATCAGTATGCATGATCAATTGCATGTGATAATAATTGTTCTACTTCTTGGTGGATCTTAAAGGAATTGAGATGGGTTCCATACGAGGACCGGTGATTTGCCCTGTCATCCGTGCGAAACAAAATGGACTTGACATCCCTTCTGTTCATGGGCCTTTAATGAAGGCTAAATTTTTTAGAAGTGGATTCTGGGGACTTAAAGGGATCAATAGTCGTGGGACTAATATGAGCCATCAAGCTCTTTTGCGAAAAAGCAAAACAGTGCAGTGTAGTTTCAGTTCCTCATCAAACGGAAATGAGAGCAGGGCGGAGAACTTCAATGAAAATGATGCAGATTATGTGAATTCCAGTGTAGTAGAAGCTGGTACGGAATTTGAATCAACAAAAGTTTTGTTTGTCACTTATTGTTGAAATTGGATGTGCATCCTTTCGGTGTGTGGTATACTGTTTGTGGAAATTTATTTGCTGCTAATTTTATTGATGAAAACAGAATGCAATTCTATCATGCATTGTGTTCTGCATATTACCAAAAAACAGCAAAACAGTGATCCTCGTTATAAAGATAGTAAAGGCATTCTAGAATCTAGAATCTAGAATATACCAATGTGGTGAGCATGCCTTTTTTGTTGTTTTTGTGTTTTGCCAGAAAATAAAATGGCAATAAAGAATGTTGCCAACATCCCAGGGAGGAGCCAATAGTGGTCTGGGGGGCACAAGCCCACCCTGAACTTTTTATAAAATACATTACTTATATATATTTCAGCTAATTGCTAAGTATATTCAAATATGTCCACCCTATGATTTCTTGTCCTATCTATTAGAATGACTTATAATTAAATGACCATAAACTTTTGCAAACACTTTGAACAAATTACAAACATATTTAGATAAGTTTTTGAAATGTAGAGCTCATTTTTCAATTGTTTAAGCTATGAATATTATGAAAATTTGCTTGCATACTCAAATGATTGTTCAATAATTAATCACTTATAGCCTGATTGTACATACAGAAAATTTTCTCTTAATGGTATTGATAATGAAATTATCAAGGCTTTCAAAGTATAAAAGCTCGTCGAGATCAATTGTAAATTATTACAATTAGCCTCATTTTTTGTTAAAGGTTTAATTTCTTTCGCCAGGTACATCCCCCTTTTATATTTAATGAATATCCAAATATCAAATATAATATAATAATTTAAATATGTTTTTTATTTCTATTGATTGCATGAAAAAAAATTAAATTTTTAGTCAAACCCTAGAACAAAATTTCTAGCTCCACCCCTGCCAACATCCTCTGGAAGCCAATTATTGCAGAATTTCTTGTTATAATTTTCAGAGGTTAACTTCCAAACAATTGTTTTTCCGTTTCTACTTTATTGTTTACGAATAGAAAATGTTCCTAGGAGCCGTATCACACCCATGTTAATTTTGGATTTAGGAGGCATGGATACAGAAAATGCTTTGAACAATACAGACACACCAATATGTATGACAAAACCTAAAAATATAGGATGTTGATACGACCATGATACGTTTACTACTATTATTTGGTGATTTGATAACTAGTTATCAATAAATTCTTTGATAACAATTCAAGAAATAAGCAATTATTACTTTCAAAGAAGTGTATATCTTCTCATCAACGGTACACCCTCAAATTGAACGTAATAATTAATCATAACTGACATGTAATTGACTAGTTCATTTAGAAGTATTTTTTGCCGAGAGATATGACACGATTTACTTTACATTTTGTTGCATGTGTTATATATTATTGTATGTGAATTCAAGAGAAAAGGGTTACAATTAAAATTAAAAATCTCATAGATTGCTTTGCATATCCAAAGCATATTTGTCTTTATACCATATCCGAAATGAATCCAGAAATAGAAATTTGTATTTGTTATTGGATACGTTTGGTATGTATCCAATATATATCCTCGAGCATCATAAGTGATACCTTACTTGATTTGGTCACTTCAACCTAAACAGAATATCTATGCTCCATAGCTGTACTTTTTAGGTCTTGGCTCATAATGTACAATGCGATTTTTGATTGTTCAACAATGTGAGAGTTCGATTTTGGAAGGACATTTGGGTTGGGGAGGTGTCGTTGTCAATTTCATTTCCTCTTTTTGTTTCGATTATCTTGCTATCATGAATATAGTGTTGTCTCTTTGGTAAGATTGGATTTCTTCCCTCTTACTTGGGCCTTTGGGTTTCATAGGAATCTTAATGATTGGTGGTCATTGAAAATAGTGTCATTTTTTTCCATGCTTGATTGGTCACTTTGAATCAAGAAGTGGTCGATAAAAAATGTTGGGTCATTGATCATTCGGGTTCCATCTCATGTAATTCCTTTTTTGAATTTTTGATTGATGGTCCTTCTATTCCTCTAATTTTTTATTTTACCCGTTATTGAAAATTTGGAAGGTTAAAAGTGCCGTTGAAAGTGCAAGTTTGTGCATTAATAATTGCTTATGGGAAGATTAATACTTATGATATGCTCCAAAGAAGAAGGTCTTGCACCAATCTTTGCCCACAATGGTGTGTCATGTGTGGAACATGTTGTAAAAATGTGGATCATTTTTTTTTACATTGTTTTATTGCATTATCCTTATGGAACAAGTTGTTTGAAATGGTTCGGCTTTGTTGGGTGGCCCCGCAATCCATATCATCTATGTTTTGTGTGGATTTCAAAGGGTTGTGTGGGGGGGGATAAGAGTGTTTTCCTTTGGCATTGTTCATTTTTGGCAATTGTATAGGTTGTTTGGTTGGAAAGGAACTAGGATCTATTTTCCAGCGTCTTTTTGGGCTTTGGTGACAGGGGAGTTTGAGAACGTCCTCTTTTGTATCACATCGAGTTGGTTAGCACCGTGTGGAAGATAGCCTGACTGGCTTTGTGGTTCCACTGTGTGGCTTTTTTTATTATGATTTTCTGATTTTTGCTTGTCTTAAGGGCTGGACAGCTTGTCCATCTCGGATCAGTTAATGTAATCTTCATTTTATGTATTAATAAAATTTGGTTCCTATCAAAAAAAATAAATAAATAATGTGGTCCTCAAGCATATCATAGACTTTTACCATTGCTGTTGAGCATATTGAGAGGAAGTTGCTCCTAAGTTCTACTAGTGTGCGGTTACTATTAGTGTGAACACTTACCCAAGCTGATTATGTGCAGTAAATAACAATATGCAGAGTAGGGTTAACTGATATTTATTGAGAGGAAGTTGCTCCTAAGTTCTACTAGTGTACAGTTACTGTTAGTGTGAACACTTACCCAAGCTGATTATGTGCAGTAAATAACAATATGCAGAGTACGGTTAACTGATATTTTGTAGCTTTCGTTGTTCTGTGTAGTTGAGGTGAAGAGTGGCCCAAGTGGTTTCATGATCAAGATGAGAGATGGTCGGAATTTAAGCTGCGTCTATAACAACCCTCAGGGTGGGCATCTGCCTGATTATGCTCCACATCCGGCAATTGTACTAAAGATGGAAGATGGATCTGGAATTCTTCTCCCCATAATTGTTTGTAAGTGCATATTGCATTTATTAATTTCTCAAATGGGATAGATTTTCTTTCACTTTGTATGTGCATATTGCACTTTTCAATTTCTGAAAAAGGATAGATTTTCTTTCAGCCTTGCACAATTGATACTGTTGCTTGACTTTCTCTTTTATTCTCGAATTATCCTGCCTTTTATTGCAGTGGAGATGCCAAGTGTGTTGCTCATGGCAGCCGTGCGCAATGTCCAAATTGTATGTCTTCTCCTTACTGTTTCTGATTATGCTGTCAAATTGGGAGTTTTGAAAGTTCTTAATTCCAAACACTTGGTTATTCTGAAAGATGACATTGGTAATTTTTTTTTCAGGTTAGGCCAACAATGTATCAGGTGGTGATGGAAATGATCGGCAAGATGGGATATGCAGTAAGTTAGCGATTGCTTTACTAAGCCCTTTGGATTAATGAATACTGTTATGCAAATGTCTTACCTTTTTTTATGGCTTCCAGTTGGGTTATATTTCCTTTTTGAATTTCTTATGCAGGTAAAACTTGTTAGAGTCACCAAGAGAGTACATGAGGCATATTTCGCTCAGTTATACCTCACAAAGGCATATTCCTGTAACACTCTTATTTTGATTGACCAAGTTCTAGACCTAAAAAATTTTGCTTACCACTGTACGTTATATTGTTTGTGATCTCAGATGGGTGATGACAGTGTGTGTATCAGTTTCGACCTTCGACCTTCAGATGCCATCAATATTGCAGTGAGATGCAAGGTACTTTTGCTTATGTCTTATCTCCTCATAGGACCAGTTGCACGTTAGAATAGCAAAGTTCTACAAAGAAAGGATTATAAATGATATAAATTTTACTGATAAAAACACTTACATATTTTGAGGAAAAGAGCAACATGACAGAAGAAGAAAGAATAGAAATGATCCTCTGTACTTTGCCTAAACTCATATGCATGTAAATTGGCTTACCTAGAATTTTGAACCTCTGACAGTTGAACTATTCGTTGCATGCATATTAATCATTTCATTCATATATTGGAAACTTACTGCTATTATCTTTCTAATTTTGGTAGGTGCCAATACAAGTCAACAAGTACTTGGCTTATAGTGATGGAATGAGAGTCATTGAATCTGCAAAGCTGTCCATGCAGGGTTCTTCTTCAGTTGGCGTACTATTTACACAACTGGACCAGTAAACTTTCCATCCCTTTGCAATTTGTCTATATCCTTTATATGAGGGCAAGCCCATGCATGAAATTTTGATGTATTCTGGAGGTGCAACAGGGGCAAGCCTATGCATTGGGTCATGCATTGAAGTTTTTTTATTCTGAAGGTGTAGTTTTATTTTTCAGAATAAGCAGTGCTTGTAAGGCTAGGGAAGGATTCATTGGAAGGTGGTTGTGGCTTTTTTATGGTATTCAATTTCAGGGAGTGTAAAGATGTAGAGAACATATGATAAAAAAAATTTGTGGTGATTATTGAAATGGCACACAAACACTCATCTATGTGATGCAGTTGCATAAATTTGCACATTTCTTTGTTGGCCATTGCAGCTTGTGGTAAAGAAAATGGGTTTTATCACTACTTTCCACACTGTTTGTGTGTGGGCAGATATTGGATCTCTATGCACTCATTCTGTGGTGAACGGAAAAGAGAGTTCTAATTTAGATTATTATGGTTGCAGACCTAGTGGCCAGCCATGCATTGAGACAAAGGAGTTTGATCTTTTGCGCAACATGCTAATTGCTGCAGTTGAGGAACGTTACAGGGATGCAGGTATTCCTATTTCCATTTTTTTGGCAAATAGATTTCCTGGAACATAGTATCTGTAAATTGTGAAAAAAAATGATGTCTTTTGTCCCTAACCCCAACTTACAGGGGGGTAAAGAACTCCCTTTCCTCCATCTTTGTGGCAAATGTGGAGTAGAATTTAAAGCACATGCCACAATAGGAAAAAGACGAATAGACTCTAGGGTTAATTGAATTCCTTGCTTCATCCTGAGATGAGAGGGAAGGTCGATTTGACTCGAATCCTTGATTTGATCTTTAATTCAACACTGGTTAATGGTGTGATAGGAGAAGTTTTTCTTTCATCAATACTGGCCCAGTCGATACTTGTCGGGATAACCCTTCGATTTGCCTCTAGCTCTATAATCCGCTGTCTTCCCCTATCCTTGAAAGCCCTCTAGGAACTCGAAATTGATATGCAAGGGTAACCCTGAGATATCCCAATTAAGTTTCACGGGGATGTGATTCTCAAATGGCATTACCCTCTCTCTCTCTCTCTCTCTCCCA